TATATATATATATATATATATATATGCATACGTCAGTCATTTATTTGCCATGCGTGATACCCGCTTAGGCGACCATTTATCTTTCGATACAGGACTGATGAGGTGAGTTTTTTCCCGCAGCAGGTTGCCATTTCTTTCTGCGGTAGACCAGTTGCCATCCGAGACTATTTAACATGGTATTTACCCATGACTGGGAAGGGGGAGAAGAGGATTCTTACCTTTCCCATGTAATGCATTCGAATGGAATTCGAACTCGTGTATCCTATATATATATATATAAATATATATATATATATATAGTGGTAGAGAAAAATTACAACAGACGCCGTTTGCCTCCATAACGTTAGAGATACCGACATGTTTTGTTTTAAATTTAATTTCTCTAAATGTTTGGCGTCCAATCTATTATGTGATATAAACTAACAAACTTAATTCAGTTACCTTTGTTTTCAGTTTAATATTTGTCATTATAGTTTTTAATTACCCCACAATAATAGTTTTTGACAGAATAGGATGCATATTGCATGATACCGGACATAAGATTCCGAAATTAGTGTACTTGTAATAAATTCTTCGCCTCAGTAAATTACTTTCTCTTTTAATTAAAACTGCATTCACTAAATCGTTATTACGGCCAGGAGAATTACGATAAGCGAATAATGCATTGTTTTGTAAGGTAGCCCTTTTATGTTAAAATAAAAAAAAAAAAACATTATAATCTTTTCTTTAAATTTCTAGATGTTTCACCTTTTGTATTTTAGGGGCATTCTTGGTGGGTTATTCTTTAAATTACTACTTCAATTTTACCGTTTTGATTTTGCATTTTGTTAATTAAATCTGTTCTTGTTTTGCATCTACTTATAACAAACTTTAAATTAGGTTTAAGTAAATTATTTTCGTTTAGTAATCGTTGCTTCGTTAATAGGTAGTATTAAGCGCTTTTATTAAGCTTATTTATGTTCCTTTCTTATGTAATAGTATGAATTTTGTAAGCTTCCCTCTTTGTGTTATATATCTGATCATTTTGGTAATAGTAAGATAAGCTCAATTTGACATCTGATCTAAAAAATAACCTACATTCTGTTGTTAACAGGGGTAAGGAATGACATGTTAATTTTAACGCCCCCAAAACGAAACTGCGCTCCATTAATAACCCTTTCTTTCTTTCATCGGCATGGAAAGTGACTCGGTGTGCTTCCTCGGACTATCGTTTTCTGCTGACATGGAAGATTATATTAAATCAATTACTAGGTCCGTTGCTAAGAATTTTGGTTTTCTGTCGTGCTAGACAATTTTTTTTTTTTTTTGCTACAATCAATCTTCCATATTCTAAGTCTATCATTCATACTTTGAATATTGCTTCAAAATATGATCTGGTATGTTTGTTATATATAGACATTCTTGATAAAAGCCAAAGAATCTGCAATGTTATTAATCCTGACCAGGCATCTCGGTTTCAGGCACTCTCCCACGGCCATAATATCGCGTCTCTGTGTCTTTTCTATAAATACTGTTTTAACTAAGGAAACGAAAGCACAAATTCAGCTATTGTTAAAACGCGGAGGTACCGTGTCCGCCATATTGGAAGTACCGTGTCGGCCATATTGTTTATATGTAAATAGAAGAGCTGGACGCTGAAAACACCGGTTCTCGTTCGATCACCGAAGTTAAGCATCGTAGAGCCAGGTCAGTACTTAGATGGGGACCGCTTGGGAACACCTGGTACTGTAAGCCCCCAAAGTCCAACCCTTACCTCACAGTCGGTGTAAACGGTAGTGTCAGAGCTATGCCGCCCGGAACTTCGTTCCTGGTAGGGCCACCCAAGGCGGACAGGTCTGACACACACGCCGGCTAACAAGGGCTCTGGTGAAAATCCAAGGAGCGTCTGCATCGGTAACCGGCGGCTTCTGGTCGTTCCTGTCTCTGCGTCTGTGGGAATCCTGCGGCAAGCAAGAACGTTATCCGAGTAGGCCTGGGTACCCTACTTCTGTAATTTATCCCAAGAATCTTCTTCTCACAACAGGAAGAAGCCGGCTCAATCCGCCCAGGGTGAATGCCGCATCACACACACAGAAGAGCTGGAGATCGCTTAGGCGGACAGAAGGCTTAAGTCGAAACTGCGTTGGCGTTGTTACTACAGCTCCCTCCTTACTAAGTTGTGACACATACCTAAGCAGAATTTAATAAATAAACAAATATAATGTGGATATAAAGTGGGAGATCAATTCTACATTAAAATCAATATATAAAATGATCCCTGACTTTGTAGCCATGGTAAGTAATAGTTGGTGAAAAACATATTGAAACATATTGAACATGTTGAATTGAAATTTCACTAATTGGGGAGGAATGGTGGAAACGGGAACTAAGGAATGTGCTGGAAATCGCTTCGTCGGACAGAGGGCTTAAGTCGAGTCTGCGTTGGCGTTGTTACTACAGACACCGCCTTACCAAGTTGTAACAAATATTTTCATGGTAATTGTTCTGATGAACTTCCCCCAATAATTCCGAGACTTTATGAATTTAAGATTGGCAGTAAGGTCTCATCAATTTACATTTAGACTGGCTAGATGTAACCGTAAGTTCTATGCTAACAGTTTCTTTTCCCGCACTTCTCACTTCTGGAGCTTTCTTCCGGCCTCATGTTTTCTGGCCAACTTTGATTTTAAAAAATTAAATGCAATGTCAATCATTATCTTCTGTCTTGTTAATTCCTATTCTTTTATTGTCCTCTCTCTTTAATAGTAGTTTTTTTTTTCTTCTAATATTCTGTAACACTCACTAGCCCCACCCCATACGTCCTAGTGGCTTTATAGCCTTGCTTGGGGTGAAATGATTTTTAATATGGTATTGCTCCTGACCTGCCTACTTGGCTTCAGTTACTTTCCCTCCGTTGTAAAGCAAGTTCCCTCTGTTGCAGTTTTTTTTGTGCATATGTGTGTACTAGTGAGCCAGTCTAAATGATTTGACTCATTTTATAGTCCAGCAATAGAAGGTTAACCAATCAGAAGACGTAGAATATTCAATCCGTCGTGTATAAAGGCGGCCATTTTGTTTACCCTATCCGAATGTCCAGTGCCAGCTTGTCAGGCGAAGAGGAACAGAAGGAAGAACTACGCTCTGCTACTTTACCGGGATATCCACTGCTAACCTGAACTACGCTTCCCTACTGTCTTCGAAATATTCACTGCTAACCTCTGGATTCTATACTTAAGACGACCGTCATCATGAACAACACCCTCTGCCTTTTCTAGAAATACTTTCGTGGCAGTTGTTCTGATGAACTTTCTTCTTTATGAATTTAAGCGCAGTACTAGATTGGCAGATAGGTCTCATCATTTTACAGTTGAAGTGGCTAGATGTAACCGTAAGTTCAATGCTAACATTTTCTTTTCTCGCACTTCTCGCTTGTGGAACTCGCTTCCGATTTCTTGCTTTCTAATGATCTTCAAAAATTTAAATCCAATGTCAATCGTTGTCTACTGTCTTAAACATCAAAATTTCTGTGTCGCGATAAAAATACTTTTAAATAATAATAATAATATAATTATATATATATATATATATATATATATATATATATATATATATATATATATAATCAGTTTTTATTTTTTAATTCTTGTTCTTTTATTGTTTTCGCTGCTCATTTTTTTTCCTTATATCCTTTTATACTTAATATCCCTTTTTGTCTTAGTGACTTTATTAAAAATATATTACCGGATTTTAAAGGTATTTTTAATATATCTCTCTTTATCGTGAAATATTGAGGCTTGCAAATTGTTAATGCTCTTAAATAGGAATCGATAATTATTCCGGATTTGTATTTTATTGTTATGGTGAGAGTAAAAATTTATAAGATCATTTTTTGAAAATGTATTTTCTACAGACACTTCGTCTTAGACCTTTATCAGTAAGGTTTAATCAGTATATCCATAAAACCCAATTTTGATTGAACGAGATCTGTCTCTGAAACTAACGGGACTCGGTGTACTGTGCGAGTTCTTGCCACAGCACCAGACGATCAGCGAGTCTGCAAAAAGATCCTGCAGCGTGTGCTTCGCTCAGTGAACGATAAGAGACGAGAGTTGCGACAGGAGAAATCGTGGCTACTTTACCACAGCAATGCACCTGCTGACGACACCCTCAGCATGCATCAGTTCCTTGCAGAGAGCAACATCGCTGTACTGGAACATCTTTCCCTGTACATCCGATCTTGCTCCGCGCGACATTTTTTTTCTCCAATAGGATTCTTCAGGGGGACCCGTTTTGAAGGTGTGGAAGCCATCAAGAGAGCCGTAACGATGGAGCTGAGAGACATCAAAAAGGAGTCCTGCCAGCAGTGGACAGAAGCATGACAGAGAAGGGGGGAAAGGTGTATTAGACTTGAGGGGGATTACTTTGAAAGAAAAACCATGTAATTTGTTGTTTGTGACACCAAACTTGTTACTTTTCAGACATATGCTTGATGTTTAGTTTTTTAAAAAGATTAGGTAATATAGTTTTGCGAAGATATATTAATAATGTATCATTGATATATCAGAAATATGTCGATTCTTTTATGTAAAATATTTGAAAAAGGGTCAGTCTCTAGAAATTCTAAAAGAGATATGCTAATACGTTGCTAAGAGGTGATTTCATCGCTTAACCAAATCGCTGCCCATAAAAATGATCGAAAGTGAAATAACATTGGTTTGTAATAAATCGCCAAATATATAATTCTATATATCTGTATGGAGAAGTTAGTGTTTTTTATCTGTACATTTCTTTAGAAGATTTCTGTATTTATTACCTGATAAGCTGGTGTTTATGGATTAAACATCTAAATTAGCCATGCGTTTCATACAGTAAGTCACCGGGGTGCGATAGTCCCGACCTACGACTTTTCGTGATTAAGACGCACCATTAATCGTGTTTCGACTTTAGCCGTTTGCCTCGTGCATACGACGCAAAAGGCGCGGAGAAAGAAAACACTGCTGCTTCCGAGTACCGCAAGAGAGACAAGATCGTGCGCTTCGTCATCACTGGCAATAAATATACAAGCAGCTTAAAACAATTTAATTTCTTTATATGTATTATTTTCATTTTTATTCATTATATGAATTATATTTATGTCCTCTGTGTGATTTATTTACCTTTATTGTCCTAATTATGTTAACATTGGAGGCACGGTGGAGTACTGGTTTGCGGCTCGGATTGAGAAATCGGAGAGTCGAGTTCGAATTTCAGTCGAGTTCATTACTTTCACTTACGTATTAATGCCCTTGAGAAAGGTATGAATCAATCTCTTCTCCCCTAGTTATAGGTAATGAGCATGACAGAGTGTGTTCTATAGCCTTGGGTAGCAACTGGCCTAGGAGAATTAAAACTCTGAATTCAAGCCAGTCTGGAGAGGGTTGGCCTCGGTCAGGCTATCTTGCCCAAGACACACCACTTGTACTGCCGCTGCAGTATATATGGCGCCCCTACGACTCTAATGAGTTACAGGACTCGTGATCTTAATGTTAACATACGCCATAGAAATGTATTCTTATGTCATATATTACATACTTTACAGGGTGTGGCAGCAAAATCCGACACTTGACAAAAAGAAAACGAAATGGGCAATAAAAACAAAAGTTGTATATACAGATACCCGACAGTTTGAAAACTATCTAACGTTTTTCTCTCTACCCTTTCCCAGGATGGAATATGAGCGCAGAGCAGCGGTAGTAGCTTCTTTTCGCGTCGGGAAGAATTGCGGTTCGGATTGAGGAATTGGAGAGCCAGGTTCGGATTCCAGTCGAGTTCATTAAATTCACTTACGTACTAATAACCTTGGGAAAGGTATAAATCCGTCTTTTCTACCCCAGTTATAGGCAAAGAGCAGGACAGAGTGTGTTCTATAGCCTTGAGTAACAACCGGCCTAGGAGAATTAAAACTCCGAATTCTAACCAGTCTGAAGAGGGTTGATCTCCGTCAAGCTATTTTGCCCAAGACACACCACATGTACTGCTGCTGCAGTATATATGGCACACCTACGGCTCTAATGAGTTACAGGACTCGTGATTGTGATGTTAACATATGCCATAGAAATGTGTTGTTATGTCATAGATTATTACTTTAATATTGCATTCGCATAAGTGAATGACGTATGTGTTTATTCACGGAAAATCGTTCCGATTACACGGAAAATCCCACGGAAACGCGATACCTTAAGTTTAAAATAAATTTTTAAATTGAACAAAAATTTCTTGAAGCTTTTACTTTAGATTTCATTTCAAGCTAATAGATTAAATTTAATATTTCCAATAAGCAAAATACTTTGCTGTATTTCAAGATTAATTTACATTTACTGGAAGGAATTTTGTTTCGAAATCACGAAAAATCTTGTGATTTTAGCATCATTTTTAGCTATCTATCAGCACAACGTAATTCTATTTTAAAAAAAAAATTCATAAATAAAATATATCTTTCCGAAACTTTATTTGAGGAATATTAGATGATTTAAAGTTTAATTAATCTGACTTGAAACAAATATTATTTACTTTTAGGTTAAAATATCACAGAAATGATCTTTTAACACGGAGGTAGGTGTTTATTTAAGTGTTGATAGATTAACAGCTTGACTGGCAGACGGAAGTTGATATTTTTTTTTTTTTACAGTGGACATAATTGTAAAAATTACATGAGGAATATAATGTAAGCGCAATTTTTTTTATATATTTTTTAACAAAGCCGTAATCATTAAC